ATATCTTTATACTCCAGTGGCACCTTCTTCTAAATGTCCTGAAATGTAAGAAAATAACATAAATCTATATCTTCAGTGATGTGGCAGGGATTTGCTAACGTTATTCTCATGGTTGCTGCTGCTCGGGGCAGGGGTCAGTGGCTCTTTTTAACCGGTGACCTCAGAATGTTATTCTCTAGCGAAGGGCTGCATTGAAGACAGATAACGCTGCACTTTGCACATTTCTTGAGACACTAAAAACACTGTGTAGTTATACTGGCATCCCTTACAGATTAGACACAGCTTACACCAGACACATGCTTATAACTGCATCTACACCAAGGAATTTGGCAGGAGAAAGATGCCATTTCAAAAGCATGCTGCTAGCAGACGTTACTGCACTGGGAACTGTTTTATAGCCCCGGCCCAAAATTGCCATAATTAGAGGTATTCTCAGCCTGCGCGTTGCTGTACTGAAACCAAAGGGAAGCAGGACTGTGAAGCTGGAGGAGGAAGGATTGCTGCAGAAGAGGGTCTTCCTGGAGTTCTTAATTCTCATCTCACTGCTTGACCTACCCTAAGAAACTGGCATTGTGAATTAAGAGATAAAGTCGAAGAGAAGCAATAAAAGAATTTCAGATATCTGGGCTTCCTGTTACTAACCATAGTGCTGCAGCCATACCCAAAATTTCTGCCTGGAAGCCCTGCTCGGAGGAGCCATAGCCCCGCATGGGCAGCCCAAGGTTTCAGTCAGACTGACACCTCCCTGCCTAAGGAAGGGCAGGATACTCCACCATCCTCTCCTCTCTCGTTTATTTACAGGAATTTTTAGCTATCTATTTGTGATTCCTCCACTGTTATTGCTGTGTTGAGTCCTTTGGGTTTGTTTATTTTCCCCTTCTTTCTAGGCTGTCCCCACTCCCTTGAGCGCCGTCGGAGAGTTTATACTAGTGCTAAATTATTGCAAAAATCTATGCTATTCTTGTGGGATATCTTCAAATACTATCTGCTGTCTCTGTTGGTATGCCGTCTTCATGTTTGCTGTGATAAAACAAACAGCGAGAGCACCACCACAGAATTCTCTAATTTGAGATTAAAATAATAGATTAAAAAATTATTTTGAGGGTGGATGAACTAGCTGCTTTCATGCTAAAAAATATGACGGTAATATCAAAACATAGCTCTGGATCTTCTCTAATTTAGTCCTTCAGATTAGGATCCTTTCTTTGTTCATGATTCCTCCTCATTGCTATTCATAGGCTTTCACAGTTCAGCCCCTGCTAGGACATCGGGCTGAAGTAATGGGAAACAACAGCAGCGCTGCACAAGGCCACATCAAGAGACTGAGCTCCTGCTCAGTCACTGTAGCAAAAATTCTTGCTCAGAACCTTATATTGCCAGCAAGACACTGGAGCAGTTTGATTTTACACTTAAATGGAAATTCTTTGAAGTTTAGAAAAAGCTAATCTGTAACTTGTTTCAGAAAGGCAATGAAAATGGGTCGTTAAACCTGGGTGTATCAAATTCCAATTAGCATTAGCATGGACAATATAATTAAAAGGTAAATTAGCCATAATAGCATAGACTAGAACACTTTTTACAGTAACTAACGGTCAATTGAAACCATGTACTTTGGTTTCTTGGGTTGTCAATGATAAGTTGAAAGGACAGAATAAGAGCCTGTATCCATTCATCTTTGGACAGTAATGTGTACTGCAAAGTTAAACGTAAAGAGCAGCAGTGTGCTAGCCAGCCGCTGCTGAAGTCAGTGGAAGAGACTAAGCGGGATTAAGAAAGGCCAAAGAAAAGACTCTAGAGCTGAAAAGTTTGTGGATGAATTATGGATGTAGTGATACGGATGCTACCTGTCCTACTCCAAGCTGCCAGTAGCGGTTTTGTGCTAACTGGAGAGGAGTTTGTTTAGGCTGCAGTGAGCAGCCTGGAATCAGAGCTGACCTGGTGGCCTGCCTGCAACCTTAAGTTATAATAATAATATAATCATGGTGATGTTTTAAATGCAAATAAAGACTGGGTAGCCCATAAGATTTAGAGATCCCAGATTAAGATTTAGAGTGTTCATTGCATAAGCGATAGAAAATGCTGGGAAAGTAAATACGTAATATTCATAAATGTGGCAAAATGGCATGATTAGGAGAGTGACTTTAAGGAACTTTCTCCAGAGTGATTTTTATTACCATCAGGCTGTCCTCTTCCGCCAAAGGGTAAATAATGCTCTGAACAGAGGCATAGATAACAGGCTGCAACTAGTCTTGTCTTCCTGCAGCATTTTGTGCATTCATGAAAGACAACCACTTTGACTTTAATAACAAAGGAATGTTAACTTATGCCTTACCGTCTGGTGGGGTGAGCCTGTGGTTTAGTAATTTGCTTTTAGAATGTGGAGAGATGAACCTAGGAGGGTAAGAGAGCGTGGATAACCACCCTCTGCTCTCAGCCTGATCTGTCCGTGCGGCACAGCCCAACATCGTCCTCGGTCCTCTTCTCGTCAGACAGCCTCAGCATCCCAAAGTGTTGGTTGTGTCCTGGACGGGGAGTGAGCGCGGTCAGAATGGCCTTTTATTGTTCTACATTGATTTCTGAAAAGACAAAAAGAGTTGAGGTGCATTGGCAACAGGGAGCTTTTCATGACCAGTCTCCTTTTGCTATGCTTTGCGGTGTGCAGACATAGGAATCCATTAGAGCAGCTTTCCAGAGTATTAAAAATCATTTAGAATGCTATGTGCTAAGAAAAGCCATTTTGAGATGATCAGCTCTCACAGCGTCAGACCTTCTTTTCCACTGCTGTGTTTTTCACTGTCTTAGCTTAATCTTCCTCTTCTATTAACTTTCTGTTGGCCAGCTGGGAACATGTACAGTTGAGAAAACAGTCAGCATCAACATAAAAAGGTTAATTAAAATTATTAACCTCACCAACAATTCCCTTATGGATAAATCCTATAGAATTTAATAGAAACTGATACATTTACTATGTAGTATTTAAACTGTCAGAGAAAATTCCTTAGCAGGGAGGTAATTCCCTGTTAAATTCTATAACTTTTTAGAGTATTCTCCACAGATCCTTGTTGGATTCATCTGTATTAAATTCTACAGCATTTGGCATAAATGTTTCAATGGTAATAACTTCTAAAAAGAATTTTGTAGTGATGCAAGGATGCAGAGTTTGATGTGAGGCTTTTCAGAAGCAGGGGAGTATTTTTCAGGAGTGACCTACAATGGTGCAGCAGTGATGTTATATGATTTCTAAATGCAAAAAGAAGGTAAAACGAAATTACATTAAATCAAGCTAACATGTAAGTAATGCTGTTTTTCCAGTTATGACTTAGGCTGAACTGATGCTGCCCATTGTGTAATCAGAAGTCCCTTGCTTACTGGAGCTGACAGGCAGAATTAGAGGAAGCGCACACTTTAATGTGTTTCTTTTATTTCTGTGATAGAAATGCAACTGTGAAAATTCTATTAGGGCCAGCTGAGAGTTTTGCTTGATTCCTCTTTGTCTGAGCTCCGCTCACCTCCTTGAATGCAGTATGTTTCTCCCTGTGGAGGCAGGGGAGAGAGAGAAGCAATTGTTATTTGGGACTGTCATGTGGATATAAAAGCTATACGATGTTCAAGGTTTCAGTATACTTTGCACTTTTAAAATGTAAATGCCGGGGAAGATATCAAAATTGCTATGCAAGTCCTTTGTGAAATGTCTGCATAATGCTGAACTCTGTTACATCTGCTGTGTGTATAGCCTTTCTCTTGATAATTTTTCTCTGTCACTTAGCTCGTGATCTTTGTAGCAGCTGTGAGCTCCTAATGACTTTCGCTCTTAGGCACGTTCTATACTGTTATTTTTAAAGCCTGAAGTACAAAGTAACTCGGCACTTCCCCATATATTCTTGGGGGAAACTGGTTCTGTTTGGTGCAATTTCTGGGACTCGCAAAAGATTTGAATAAGTACAGTTTCGTCCACAACTTTGTAAACTCCAAACATTGACAAATTTTTCAAATATGTGTTTTTAAACTAAGAATATTTATGCTAGTGATAAGAAGGCGTTTAGCTTTTTCAGGAAGATTGTGGTTAAATAGATACGAAAAAATATGTCTTAGAGGTGGTATTGCACATGAGTTTTAGTGATTGAGTTTGCAAGACAGTCTCTGAAGTGTGTAACTCTCTAGGACAGTCTGTCCAAGGGGAGTGGAGAAAAGACCCTCCATCGCCCCATTTCAATACCTCTGCGTTCTATTGTTGGACAGTGTAAGTAAGGGGTAGATTAAGTACCAAAAACATGAATGGGAATTAGGTATCTAACCTACAGCCTCAAGTAGACAGAAATCTGCATCTCTAGCTTCATGATCACGTTGGCAAGCCTGGCTTCTTTCTGCTTTCTAAATGTATATATACATGGATACAGCCTTTTATCTTTTTCACTGCATTGTGGGCTGTTAATCAGTGTCCAAGCAGTGGTATTTAAAGCACTTGCTGTGATCTTCAGAGATCTATTTTATTTATATTCTATAAAAGGCATCTTTTCTGTAGAGAACTAACAAAAGGTCAGTGCCAAACTTAAATGTCAGAAACCCTGTTTTGAGAGGTTATAAGCAGATAAGTTGTCCAGTGGTCAAAGGCTTTTGTTGAAGCGTATTTTGTGCTTTGTTTCTTACACGGCACTGGCCACTCTTGCCTTTGAGGGACTCTGTCTCCCCTTCCCAAGAGGGGGCAGAGTGGGGCATCACAGGAGATGCTGGTCAGAGGGGACAGTCGGTCCTTAGGGTGCCCAAAGTGCATCTGTCACCACGTCTGTGGAGAGGAGCGTAACTGCACACCAGGGAGCAGCTAACACGGCTCGCTTTAAGCAGACCATGTCATCCAGGACAATACTGAAGGACTTTGTGTTCAATCCAGCAATTAAGATACTGATATTTTAAACATGGTTTCTGTAAGCTGTTGCAAAAGGAGATAAAGCTTAAATTTTTTGGACCGACACATTTTCCATTCAAATAATTCTTATGCCTAGGAAGTGCAGCGCTGTACGGCTGACATGAACATCACCGCAGAGCATTCCAACCACCCCGACAACAAGCACAAGAACAGATACATCAACATCCTAGCCTGTAAGTAAGCACAATGAATCAACCCGAAAAGGCACTCTTCTCTCACGGTGTGTCTGTGTGTGACTGGAAAACTCAAGTCGCTTCCAGTTACATTATTGCACAGTAATTAATAAACACGTGAAAGCGTGGCTGGGAGATCATTTCCCTACTAAAGGCAGTGGACGTTTGAGGCCAGGATTTCACTCCAGCTTTTGTTTTAAAATATTTTGCAGTTTGATGAAGTAGTTTTAGAAATATCAGTTTCGTATGAAATTTTGTGGAGGAATAACTGGGATAAATGGATGATCAGAGCTCTTCTGCCTGCTAATGTCTGAAAACTGGCCTAAGGGAAGCACATGGTGGAGCAAAGAGTTTTATTGATGATCCCTGAGATTCCCTTATAATCCCAAAGGTGCTAAATCTTACAAGAGTATATCAGCTGTATTTCACACTGCTTCAGCTGTGTGTACGACTTGGACAAACAGTGATCTTTGTAGCACAGTGCAGGCTTTGCCTGTATTCCTCTGAGAACTGCAAATCTGGACTCTGCTCTAGAACGCAGATTATTGCAGGTCTGAGATGGAAATCCAGTAACTTTTCCCATATCGTTCTCTGATGTGGAACAAATGGCAGATGCAGCAGTCATCGTGGTTTAGGAACAAAGATGGAGAGCCGCTGATAAAAAGTTCACAATGTTCATAAACATTGCAATAAATCTTGAATGTTTTTGATGGCATAGGAAGGAAATGCATGTCTCTAACAGATTCTCAGAAGTAATCAAGGTGCCAGCTGAGAACCAATTCCCAGACCTGTAAAAGACTTGCTGTGTGACCTTGGGCAAGGGGATTTATTGCGGTTGTCCCAACTTTGATTTTAGACATAGATGTCTGGTCCCTTTAGGCACAGAGAGAGAAGTACCACTGGAGGAGAATTGGAGCAGGCACACCAGTCCTCCAGATTGCCCCTGGAGCAACCTCTCTCTCTCCATTGGTGCTCAAGAAAGGCAACTGAAACCAGATTCCTCTAAAGTTAGCCCGCGTGTCTCACCTCTGCATGTGTTGGAAGTGCTACCCAGCCCAGTGCTGCTGCCTAGGAGCAGGAGGAGGACTGCAGGCTTTTTCTGATTTAAGCCAAAGTCAGGCATTTAGGTGGAACAAAAAGAGGAGTTAAAGAGTGTGACCTAAAGCCTATCTTCTTGGTGTCACAAGGGTGGTGAAGGAGGGAGGACATTCACTCAGCTCCCAGAGCCAGTAGAGCTGTCTAAGCCCAGCACCGAGTGGAGGATAATGAGCTCAGACACTGAGCCAAGCAAAGGCAGCTTTACTGCCTGCGAGAGCGGAGCCGGTGTCTCCACTGGTTGCACAGCCCCGTGGGGTGCCCTGCCTCTTTGAATCACGCTGCATTGTGTGATGTGGATGATCCTAGAGATCTTGCTCCTGAGGCTTCAGTGTTCTTTAAAGAGAAGCTGTCCCAGCACGAACCACATACTTTAAGGGATGTGAAGCCTGAGGACTGGCTGCCATAAGCAGATAACCAAGAACAGATACTCCCACCTCCCCCTTGACTCCAAGCCAAAGCCAGTTTCTTCCATGTATTAATAAGGGCTACTCCAATACCTAGGAAATGGGATGTTCACATGCACTTCTGCACTATGTTTCCTTCATGCTTCTCTGCTCTGTCTTTTATCCCGCAGATGATCACAGCAGGGTGAAGCTAAGGCCTTTACCAGGAAAAGATTCTAAGCACAGTGACTACATTAATGCTAATTATGTTGATGTAAGTTGTTTGAATTGTTTTTCCTTCTCTAACTCTGAATCCTTCCACAAGGACGAAGTATTGCCACTTGTGAAGTGGTTGTGTTTTCCAACTTCACCTGACAATTTTGCTACAAATTCCTCGCTATTCTGAATGAGAAAGAGACCTTTCTTTGTTACCTTTAAAATATTAATACGTCTGCCATGATACTGCTTTCATCTCACTTGGCATTATGGTTTTCTTTGAAGGGTTACAACAAAGCAAAAGCCTACATTGCTACCCAGGGACCTTTAAAGTCTACCTTTGAAGATTTCTGGAGGATGATTTGGGAACAAAATACTGGAATCATTGTCATGATCACAAACCTTGTTGAAAAAGGAAGAGTAAGAGATTTTCTAGTTTGTTAGTAGTTGCTCCTTACCACCTCCCTGAATCACTTGGGCAGAATTTGTTTTTAAATGGTTTGGGATGATATATATTGATGTATAATTTATAACTAACATAACAAAAGGGTACATAGCTAGCCATGATTTTCCTTTTTTAAAATGCTCTAAACACAAATGTAAAGAAGCAGCTCAAACCCTCAGCCAACCCACCCAACTATGTGTTTGTTCAGAGAAAATGCGATCAGTACTGGCCGTCAGAGAACAGCGAGGAGTATGGCAACATAATCGTCACGCTGAAGAGCACAAACGTTCATGCCTGCTACACTGTGCGCCGCTTCACAGTCAGGAACACAAAGATGAAGAAGGTGAGTAAAGCCCTCAGTGTTCTCATCCAGATGCCTTCCGGCTTGCGTAGGATGTAAGGCACACAGGAGCAAAATTCAGTATTTGCATAGGCAACCTGCAGTAGCAGGTGGATGGGGAAAAAAGCAAGCAAAGCCAGGATTACAAGGAACCTGGTGAAAGGTTTAGCCTGTATTTCTTTTTCTCAAGTCACTGCTGCTTTGGTGTCACAGTTATTGCTGTTATTACCTGTTCCCACATGTATTTTTCCTTGAACGCTGTCTCCACCTAGCAGGAGGCAGAGCTGCAGAAGATTTCTTCTGTTAGAGTGCAGCACTTTTTCACCTGAGCAAGCCAGTAGGATTGAGTATCTTTCCATCCTTCTCTTCCCTAATTTTTCTCTTCTTTCTGCGCACACTCTGCACACAGGGCCAGAAGGGAAATCCCAAAGGGCGGCAGAACGAGAGGACAGTTATTCAGTACCACTACACTCAGTGGCCTGACATGGGTGTGCCGGAGTACGCTCTGCCTGTGCTAACCTTCGTTAGGAGATCCTCCGCAGCCAGAACCCCGGACATGGGACCAGTGGTGGTGCACTGCAGGTATGATGGGTGTGATTAACTACTTCATGGCAAGCATACCTAGTGCACAGCGTGTGCTCTTACGTGCCAGCTAAGGCAAACGCCGTGAGTTACTAACACAGAAGGAACGTGCCAGCCCCATGGAGTGCAGGTAGACATGAGCTTGCTTTGCCTACATCTTAAGACAGCTCCAATGCAAAAGCTTTTGCATTAGCAAAACCCTGTGTCATGATACTGAGCTGCTGAGCATTGCACTGATGTGGTTGTGCAGTTCCTTGTTCGAAGCCTTGTTTGTAGCCTGCCCATTCAGTGCGTGAGCAGGATTATCTCTGCTGGCAACCAACCATGTGAATAGACAGACATCTGGGCATGCGACTGCCACTGAACCACCCTCACGTTCGCCAGCAGAGGTGGTCAACAGAGGATTTCCCTTAAATGAGTTAAGGCGTGTGGTCTTCATCACTGTGTGTGAGGGGGCTGTACAGCACCATAACAAAGAGGAGAGGATGATGGGGGTTAGAGCTCCTTCATGAGCAGAAATTGAGACGCTCTTGAAGAGTTCCCCTCTCCACCCTCTCTGTTGCGCCCAGGACCACCCTCTTCCCATTCAAGGAGTCCTGCCTCCACAGCATTAGCCCCCTCATGCCTTTCCATAGTGCTGGTACCACTTGCATTTCCAGAGCAGGATTACAGCTCCACTGTGAAGCTTAAGCCTCACCTCAAGACTGAAGCCAACCAGGGCAGTCCCACAGCCTGGAGGAACCTCTGGTCCAGGATAGCAGCAGTTTGGCATAGGGTGGATCTCTGCATGGCTCCTAGCCAACAGCAGTAACGACAGCGGTGGAGACAAGACAGCCAAGTGTCAGATCGTGAAATAGATACCTGGTGGAATTCCCAGAAACCCAAAATGTTTTGTTTAGAAACTTTCATGGTTGGGGCTAGTGGGGAATTGAAAGTCTGTGAACAGGAATATTTGCTTAGTTCTGTTCTGCTGTTGTGAACATCTACTTTGGTCCAGCTGTATCACAAGGATTTCTCTTACATCTTCTGTAGTGCTGGTGTTGGCAGGACTGGTACCTACATTGTGATAGACAGTATGCTGCAACAGATAAAAGACAAAAGCACAGTTAATGTCCTGGGTTTCCTGAAACATATCAGGACACAGCGCAACTACCTCGTCCAGACAGAGGTAAAGATTGCAGTGGGGTTGAATTTAAAGACATGTTCATTTTTATGTTGTAATCAAAAAGAAAATGGATTTTTCAGTTACATCCCTGTAAAAACTTAATATATCACCAGGCATTTTTTGCACTGGAATGTCTCTCTTTTTCTAGGCCAGAAACTTCAGATTTTGTTTTTGACTTACTCAGTGCTACGTGTTACTCTTGTAAATGTTTATTCTGGATTTGGCAGTATTTGCATGGGTGGTTTGTTTTGCACACCCTTTCCTGTAGTGTGCTCTACTCCTCAGTTAAAGCCAGCTGTTTAGTTTATTCCAAGCACCTACGTGACATGCTGTTGTTTTTCTAGGAGCAGTACATTTTTATTCATGATGCCTTGTTGGAAGCCATCCTTGGGAAGGAGACTGAAGTAGCTGCAAATCAGCTGCATAGTTATGTTAACAGCATCCTCATACCTGGCATAGGAGGGAAGACACGACTAGAAAAGCAGTTCAAGGTAAGGCTTATCACTGCCATCCAGAGAGACTTAATTTCCCTACTCTTTTGTACGGCCTGTCTTCGCTGTCAGTTGTCATGGATAAGGAGCCAAACCAGAACACTTGATTGGCACAGCACAGCATCTTGAGAAGTTCGGTCCTCGACGCTTAGCTACACTGCTGGAAATCAGTGCTAACACTCTTGAAGTCAGAGGTGAGAAGAGGGACATGGACACTGGTTTGGAGTGTGCTGCTGGTCTCCCTGTTCCCAAGGGGGCTTAGATGTTCCTGAGTCTGTGGCTAGCTTGGCTGGAAGTCTTCCTCCAAACTGTGACTCTCATGCATATATGTATAAAGACATGAAATGGGGTGCTTAGCACCACCTACTATTTCAGTGCTGGATAAATATTTTAAAATAATTTAAGACCAGAAAACACAATATGCCTTTCTCATTGTTAATAACTATGCTTGCTGCTTTTCCCTGCTATGTCATAGTTGCTTTCATCCTGGCAAAAGTAATTTTTTTTTTGCCCAGATCTTCTATTTGAAACCTAAGATTTTCTGATTGCATTTTATTTGAATGTATTTTAAAATACTTTGCGAGACTATGTATCATAATAAGATTATACGTGACATCTGTTTTCACAGCTAAACTCACTCAGTTAATAACTACCTAAGGAACTGAAACTGTTAAATTATACCAGGTGCCAAGCTATTCAAAAAATGAACAGGCTCTTCTCTGAACTCACTTATAGAAATCTCAGTACTTCTCCATCAGCCAAGACATTCCAGATGCTTAATTACTAAATTAAAGAAACAAGCGCAAGTGCACGCACATGCACACAAAATGCAGCAGGAGAAAAAAAAAACTTTTTTATTGAAAAAAAGTGTTGCACTTTTACTTTATTGTATACAAATTATATGTATAAAGATGTTTTCTGATGATGCGTGGCAAAATTTCAAAAACTTAAGTGCGGTTTTCAGAAATTACTTTTTCTGCTGACGTTGCGCAGGTATTTAGAAACCCCATAATTTCTAACGGGGCTTATGGCAGTTAGATGAGTTGATGTTGGCAACTAGATGAGTTGAGTACTATCTTGTTTAGAGCACATTTGAAACTGGGACATGACCAGCAGCAATTATTAAATATTTTTCTAATTTCTGCTGCTACCACAGAGCTGGCAGAAAACACCTTGTGCTCATGCCCTGGTATAGTGGCTTATATTCAACCATCTTAGAGTAAACTTATGCTGAGTAATGAGTTGCTAGAGCAGAAGATGAAAACACCACCTTCACCCTCTTTGCTCTGGTAGAGTTTCCTCATACGCTGTGGGATTCAAACACAAATCTGCCTCCCTGAGACTTTTCTTTGTGCCTCATAAGCAGCCCAGAATGAACTTGGGAGACCGGAGAATGTAACCCACAGCCTCGGATCTCGGATGCGGGTGTGGTGGGTTCCCCAAAGGCCTGGCAGGAAAAGACATTCTGCAGGAATAATCTGGCTTTTATTTCGGAAGAAAACATAAAAGTTTTTTTGTTGTTTTATTTTGCTAGCTTTTCTTCCTTGAGATCTGCTTCTGACTAAACATATCTGCAAGTGTTTGAAATATATTCTCAAAGATAACTAAACGTAGCGTTCTGTGAAAATACGTTTTGATGGAACTTCATTTTCAGGATGTTTCGAAGCTGAGAGCTGCAGAGATCTTTTTATCCATTAAGCATGTTGTATGAAAAGGATTATTTCCATTGGCATCTTGAGTACTTTAAACAAGTTTAACAACACAGTTTATTCTTCTACTGATGCATCTTCGCAGGAGTTGGCAAAGAAGCTTCCTCTCTTCATTTAGAGCGCTATGGGGACTGACTTACTACTTTATTCTCTTTCAGCTGGTTACACAGTGTAATGCAAAATACGTGGAATGCTTCAGTGCTCAGAAAGACTGCAACAAAGAGAAGAACAGGAACTCATCAGTCGTGCCGTGTAAGATCGCATCTTCGGTTTGATTACTGCCTAGCATAACTTCTTGTACTGAATCCTCCCGGTGTTATGCATGAAAAGGCATAGCCACTAGGAGGGAGAAATGTAATCTTTTGTTCAGACCAAGCTGTCTTGTCTTTCAGGATTACCCTCATGAAACCGAACAAAAGAAAATAGTTACAGTGTCAGCCAGATATACTGTCCGAGTGAAATGTTAATTTGAAGTGCTTAAGAATTTTAATAATTAGATAGGGCATAAATCTATGGAATACTGAGAGAATTTCTTTGATACTGCTCCCAGCTCAGGTGAGATCTCCCAGTGTGACGGGTAGAAGTTGTTTGTAATTCAGCTACTACACTCAGTTTCTGCGTGTGAGCCTTCCCCAGGTTTGAGGGTATCTAGTGCCCAAGGACACAGTTTCACAGTCATTAATATGGAATCTGTGCATGGTTGCCAAGCAGTGTGAATTTACACCAGACCGAGCATGGGCACAACATCATTCCTGTCATATTACCTGGAGTACAGGACATACAGGACAGATGATACAGCACAGAGTAATACTGGCACAGATACGGTCCATCGTGAAGTTTGTTAATAAAAAGGGAAGTCATCAGGATATATCTTAAAAACAACGTGAACGGGGCAGAAGTAGTCTACATGACTTTGCACGTTGTGTGACATAGCTGCAGCGATTTCAGTTTGGCGGTGGGGCCCTGTCAGTTGGTTTGAGGATGTTGAACCCAGCCCTCAAAGCCAGAGAAGTGTAGATCTGCCGAAGAACACACACACACTTCTGTGTGGTTACCCGTTAGGGAAGGGTTTTGTCTCTGGAGGTTCTCTCACCCTCCAGCTGGGAGGAGTGAGTGATGGTAGCGCTACGGAGTGGTAGGGAAAACAAAATAAATCAGCAGGGTTTGTGTGCTGCTGGAGACAAATGGAACACTACAGTCAAGAATTACCTGAAATCCCCTGTTATCACTGCATATACTGTTATTTGATAATTCAGCCTGCTGTGAAAATCTTTGCTATAGTAAAATTTGATTCCTGAAATTACTTTGTCCTTGTGGGAATATTGTGCAACATTCTCTTTTATATCCTGTGTTAGCAGGCAATGCTTTAACGCAGTTAAAGTGCTGGCCTGCTCCTGCGGGAGATGGGAGCTGCACAGTGTTTGGTTTGTTAACGTCTGAGAAATTCTTACTTTCTGCATTGTGCCATGACCAGACTTTGATCTTTTTTTTCCCCCTCTCTGTTTTTTTTTAATCTTATAGCTGAGCGTGCTAGAGTGGGCTTGGCACCTCTGCCTGGAATGAAGGGAACAGATTACATTAATGCCTCTTATATCATGGTGAGGAAGCCAACACCTAATTACAAAGTAAAATCAATTCTAAGGTGCTAAATACCAGATGCCTATAATTGTCTTAATTCTTTATGTAATGGCTGTGTATTAACAGATGAGATTTTAACACCTTCCCCATAATGTAAAGTTATTAACTGTGTTTTATTAAAGATTGTTGCCTAAAAAAATTAAATACAAGATGCATTTAGATGGCATGTGTATTCCCATGAGATACAGTCAAATAGATACTGGGATTTAGAGTAAATGAAAACAACAGGGACTCTGCAGAATGGAAATGGAGTTATAAAATTATAGTCTGTGTGAAAATATTGTGGAATAAAATGAAACAGGGTCATTATGTGTCCCCAAAGATGAAATTAATGCTTTAAAATATTGAAGGCAGCAAGTAACTCCGTGGTTTGTTTTTCTGCAAAAGGGCTACTACAGGAGTAACGAATTCATCATAACCCAACATCCGCTGCCACATACAACTAAAGATTTCTGGCGAATGATCTGGGATCACAATGCACAGATCATCGTCATGCTGCCGGACAACCAGAGCCTGGTGAGTTAAACGCGTCCCTTCCTGCGCGGTATCGCACTCACTGGGCCCAGCTGGGCACCAGCGTAGGGTCACTTAGTTGCATGCTACGGCTATTTTCTGGTTGAAAGCAAAGCCAATTTTTGAGCCACCTTCTCAAACTTTGCCATAAGCTTGTTAGAAAAAGTCAAGTTCTGAGATGTGGGGTGTGGTTTTTTTGCTCTCCCCCTCTGCACTCACCCGTGGGAAAGACAGCCCGAGCTGGATGGGCCACAGTGCTCACAGGCAGCACGCCGGTGATGACGACCTCTGCAAAGCTCCTGAGGGCTGCCTGGCTGGCAGGGTGTCGTGGTTTAGCCCCAGCCGGCAACCAAGCACCACACAGCCGCTCGCTCACTCCCCCTCCCACAGTGGGACGGGGAAGAGAATTGGGAACAAAACTCGTGGGTTGAGATAAACACGGTTTAATAGGACAGAAAGAAAGAAGGGAACAACAATGATAATACCAACAAAGGAATGTACAAGAACAAGTGATGCCCAATACAGCAATTGCTCACCATCCCGTGATCGACAGCCCGTCCCCAAGAAGCGATTTCCGCCCCTGGCCAACTCCAGTTTATGTACTGGGCATGACGTCGTATGGTAGGGAATATCTCTTTGGCCAGCCTGGGTCAGCTGTCCCGGCTGTGTCCCCTCCCAGCTCCCCGTGCACCCCCAGCCTGCTCGCTGGCAGGGCAGGACAAAAAGACGGGCTGGCCCTGACTGCTCAGCAACAACCCAAAACATCAGCACATTATCAACAGTTTCTCATCCCAGATCCAAAACACAGTCTCACACTAGCTTCTGTGAAGAAAACCAGCTCTATCCTGGCTGAAACCAGGACACAGGGTGCAAGCCACTGAGACTACTGGGTGGCCAAGGCCACGGGTGAGGACTTTGAGAGGAACAGAAACATGAAGCAGGGACAGTCAGATAGTTGCTTGTTTGCCCGGGGTCTTAAGGCTCAGGCCATGCAAGACTATGTCTGTGCAAAGTTACAAATGCTATTTTTTGATGAAAGTAAAAAGCAAACATGTATGTTAATTTAAGTGGAAATAATGAAACAGGCACAGAGAGAGAGGATAAGGAGACACAGGTGAAGTGCTAATCACTACTTCCAGATTTACTAGCGTGTCTCAAGAGGGCGTGTTGAAAAGGATTAAGAACTAAACGGTTCGTTTTTTTCATGCACGCATCACTGAGGTGCGTAGATGATTGTAGCTGAAAGTGGAAAAGAAACCACGTTCATTACAGCAGGAAAATAGCAGTCATGAGGGGCTACTAAAGAGGCAGCAGTCAATACACTTCCTGTGTGCGGCGCGATGAAAGGGATTGCAGGCACCGCAAGGCGAAGAGCGTTCAGAGAAATCCAATCGAATCAGAAAGCACTAATGAAATGAAAGTGTGTCAGGTGGAAATGAAGAGGCTGATCTTGTCTTTACAAGTACATGAAATAGCTCTGCAGAACAATAGTGATTAAAGGGCAAAGGAGGAATGCTGGACTCCGCCACATCCCTTGCAAGGATGCCCGATCCCTGCTTTCACCGTCACCGTTCCCAGGGTGGAGGCTGGCCAGCAGGGCAAGTAGCATCCGTGCATTGGCTCAGGGTTCGGTGTGGGTTGTTGGCTGGCCAGGAGGGGTGGCACAGGACTGAGACTGTGTCAAGGTGCTGAATGTGTAATGCCAAAGGATGAGACAATAATGCACACTACTGGTGCGTGAGGACCTGTCACTTGGCAGGACAGGTCACTTCCCTGGCGTTCAGCAATATTACACTGCTTGTTGGCATCTCTGCACACTATGGGCGGAATTTTCAAATTGCTTAAAGGTCCTTAGGACCCTAAGTCCCATTTTCAGAATAAACATTTAAGGTCCAAACCTCAACAGTATCTTGCACATCATGTGCATGAAGACTCCAGGCCCACAAAAATAAATCTGGGTTTAGAGACAAGCTCGTGGCCACAGCAGGGTGAGTGGGTTCATAGCTCTTGTTTTCTCATGAGTAAAACACAGGTTGTTCAGAGATGCAGGCGTGCAGTCCTGTGCATGCTGAGGGGTAGCTTCTGTGCTTACACTCCAGGGACAGTAGACCCCTGAAGCAAGGAGGAGAAGCAAGCTTTGAGTGTGGTTACAGAGCCTAATTTTCTTTCTCTGCAGTGAATTAGGAATGCACAGTTATATTTTAAAGAATAGCTTTGACAGTATGTTACCTACACCCTGTCAGTTAGGCTGCTTCAGCACTGAGCTGCTTCTACCATTCATATTCTCAGTGAGGTTTTATAGTGTCCCTTCGGTAGAGGAGCTTTGTGGGAGAAATTGCATTAAGTCAAGGCAGTGTTTTTTTCAAGGCTAAGACTGTTTGGGTTTCTTCCTTCCTCCTCCTTCCTCCCCTCGGTCCTAAAAATTCAAGCCCTACATAAGTATCCATCAGTCTTCTAGCCAGACCCGATCCACAGACCCCGAGTTTTGGATTAGGCCACAATAAACGCAAACTAAAAACAATAAGCAATTAATTTTTAAAGGTCAGTGAGTTTTTTCTAAACAGGTATCTGACTTTCATGCAAAACTGTGTCGGGAAGAGGTAATAAAGCCTGGGATACAATATGAAGGTTAAGTATGAGTGAGCTAAGATAACCATTTCCTTATGAAACCAACTAAAAAGCAGACGTTACCTGTTTGGACACACAAAGGAAGGATTTGGCAGGCTTACAGCTTACTGCAATAGTAAATTTGGTTTAGACAGCAATGATTTTTAAAGGTCAGCTCCTGATCATCTCTATTTATCAAACTAATTTTTTGATCCACTGGATTTTTCAGTCGTACACAAGGTACCTGAAAGGCTGCAGTAGTCTGTTGTTTCATTCCTCCAGGCAGAAGATGAGTTTGTGTACTGGCCAAGTCGTGAGGAATCCATGAACTGTGAGGCCTTTACTGTGACCCTTATCAGCAAAGACAGACTGTGCCTCTCTAACGAAGAGCAAATTATCATCCATGACTTTATCCTTGAAGCTACCCAGGTAAAATAAACCTCCAAATGTGGGCCTTGGCTTTTCACCAAAATGTTATTGATGTCATTTAAATATGGAAGAGGGAGAGTTCAGAAACAGTTTTGAAAAAGATTTACTTGTAAATGCATGTGCATGCATGTTGCTCTGAGGGGAAAGGTATTCTCGTTGGCTCCTTCTCCCTCTCATATCTTCTACTTCCATGTAGATTCCTCCAGCTAGTGAGACTGTAGTATTAATTGTTTCTCTTATTTGAAAGTGAAGACACTGGTTTTTCATTTTGAAATCACACAAATAGATTTAATTATTCTTTGTAAAGTACACCAAGGTTTATTGTCCTATTTCTGCTTATAAAATTCAGCATTTATAGTTTAATTGTTTAGGGGTCTTAATTAAGGTGTTTTACTTAAGCATATTTCTTTTGAACTATAAACCTGCCCCTAGTTTGCTATCAGGATTGCAGCTGGATTTTGCTGCAAAACATTAGTTGGCAAGCCTTTCCTTTTAAATTTGAATTCTTTGGCTGATCTTCTCTTGTTTGACTTTTGAGCCATAAGGGCTCTGAGAGAAGGTTTATATGGATATAAGCCCTGCACTCAAATAAAAAATCTTTTACAATTAAACATAAAGTTGCGTTATTTTAGGGTGTTCACTGTTACGGAGATGCTAGAGCTGTGTGTCTGTCACCTTCTTTCTATATAAACTGTTTGGAAGGAGAAGGTGTCTCTTCACTTTGTAGTGAGGCTCTTCCCTCTTTCTACCTGGAGTGGATAAATGTGAAACCAAAGTAGCTAATGCCCAGGCTGGTTTTTCATTGCAGGATGACTACGTTCTGGAAGTCCGCCACTTTCAGTGTCCTAAATGGCCAAACCCAGATGCTCCCATAAGCAGTACCTTTGAACTTATCAATGTAATCAAGGAAGAGGCCTTAACAAGGGATGGCCCCACCATAGTTCATGATGAGTATGTTGTCTTTTTTCTCCCGTTTATGTGCAGGTTGTACACGATGTTACTCAGCTACTGGACACTTGTTAGGACTGATGTCCATTCTTGCATGGAGCAGAGGGGGTTTAGTGGTCTAGGGAACAGGATCAGAATAATTAAACATCCATGGATGAGTTTTCAGTTGGCATCTGAGGCCAAATACATTTTGCTTAGTGTAGTTTTTATGTCAGTCATAATCTTAGGTGGACTCAGACAGTGAGGCTGTGTTTGCTTTGTAAGCGTTTTGTGTTCTTCTGCACCTGAAAGTATCCCAGACAAATCCTACAACCTGTTTTGGAACCCAACAGAGCCCTGGTTTAGATAAGGCTCTAAGCAGCCCAATATGGGCTGATGGAAACGGGCTTCAAAACAGCCCTGAGCTCCTGTCTAACAGCTCAGGTTTAATGAGCCACCTAAGACAGAACAAGCTAGGTTCAGCTGTGTCTCAGGATGAGCAGCAGAAGTATCTTGTGACAAAGGGCCCAGGTTTTCTGAGAGCAGATTTATTTTTCCTCCTGCTTCCCAAAAAACATTCCAAGGGGCCCATATGGTGCCAAGTGGGAGGGAGGGAGCCCACTAACACAGGGCCAGTGTGCCCCAACACTTGTCTCTTTTGTAGTGCAGAGGTGAGCATTGTCTTCCTAGCTATGCTTGAATGCCCAGTTATAAAGGGTGCTAAATATTGCACTGCATATTATTACTTTGCCCACATTATGGAGCTGCAAAATACCAAGCTGGAGCCTGGGTCTAGCTATATCTCTTTGGAGGGGCTGTTTTCTGGCGGGCAGAGCGCTTCCCGGAGTCATTCCACCTTTAAGATCCCAATTTCTGACATGGCGTGAGCCGCCCTTAGAGCAAACACCGAGCCAGCATAAACGACTGCTGTACCTGCAAACCCCCTGCACTCAAGTCCATTAGACTTTTTATCATTGCTACAAAACAGAGTTAGTGGGAAAGTCTTGGAAATCTTCATCTTTTGTGAAAAAACATCATTATCATACTCTGGTATTTCAGTGGTCGGGTCAGCCTTTGTGCTGATGTGCGATCGCATGCCGGTATCTGCCATTACTGAAGGAGTTTTCACTTCACATCGGTGTCTTGCTGCTTGCAACAGGTTTTTCCCAGCTGACTCCTGCAAATGGTGCCTTGGGCTGCAGCAAGTAGTTTTTCTCCCACCAGCTCCTACCTTGCTAATGCACAGTGTAAGCTCTGCTGCCATTTGCCAGCACTGATTAATTCCAGGCTAGATTTAATATTCATGCTTTGGGTAGTCTGAAGTGAGGTTTTGCTACTCTTGCAGTATTTAAGATTATGTTTTACAAAATTAGAACCATTATTGATTTGGGCATTTCGTGCTAGACCAAAAAAAAAAAAATCAAAATCGCATTTCTAACAGTGCTGAGTCATTCTTTCTGTAAATTGCTTTTTTGGTTTATTTGTCATATTCAATGATTTTATTTTTATGCCTAATACATAATGAGGATTCTGCTTTTCAGTGGAGCCTAAGCAAATGTAGCTGAAAATGAAAATTTCCCTTTACTACATGCAACAACTATATCACATAATCCACTAATAATTACAACTGCAGATTAATTCCAAATATATGAATTTGCAGATACTAAATGCATGTGGTATTTAGGAAGTACATGGTGGGATGAACTTGATAAAAATATTTCAAAGAAGTTCAGAAATTCCAACTTGAGACAGTTGTCGAGATTTTTAAATATAACTGCCCATATGTAGGCAACTAGATAAAGACTTGCTGCATAATTTTCTGCGAGAAAAGCCTTCAGATTGTTGGGAGCTGGAGGTTATCATCCCAGGTAAAAATTAGACCCTCGGAGGCATTTAATTGTGCCCCGTCAGGCACACACATTGGCCACTTTGTCCACTATCCCTGTAGATGATCAGTCACAGCCATCTATGTAGGTCTGCAGAAGCTCTGCTGTGTCTTCTATAGACTTTTCATCAAATATAGCAGATCTATGGTGATCTGACTTCTCCTTCCCATTCCTAGGCAAACTGAGTTTGCAAAAATCATATAAAATTAAGTCAGCATATGTCTTGATTTCCACAGGAATGCTGTAAAAAATCCTAGTGGTAATCTTATGATACCAGATGGCATTGCAATGCTTGCCAATTATTTAAGTTTTCACATACAGCTCTCCAAATGGTTTACAGAGCAAGTCAGCACCGATGTCCCCTTTTACAGGTAGGGACATTTAGACACACACTTTCTCAAAGTCACAGAGCAAACCCAAGCAAAGCCGGGACAGAATTTCAGTCTCCTGAGTACTGGGAGAGCAGAGGAGAGTTGAGGCTCCACAGAAGCCGTTACGAGCTCCTGTTGCTTAGGATCTTCTATCCCATGCCCCACACCTGCATGCATCATTCAAGCATACACACAGATTTAGCAGCAGTAATATTTCTACCTGACCAGGATCTCAAGGACACACTGAGCCATGCTCCTGATGAATAACCGTTGCTCAGGTTCTTACTAATGACAGCACAGCTCAACTCTTCAGAATCCGTAATGTCTCTTGGGTGCCCAGCCCAGGGATGTTGCCTTTTGCCGATGAATCAGACGTAAGGAAGAGTTTGAGATGTGCCCCATTTACTTGTGAGCACCTCATATCCGTGTTAGTTTTCTATAATTGTCAGATGTGGAGGAAGAGGCAAAGTCTCATTTCTTTCTAATCGTTTATGTTTTGCTTGAGCTCCCACTAATGAATTTAAAATACGCTCAGCTATAATGCAGATGCTTTCAGTACATGTGGCATGTGAGAACTGATTTCAGTGTTATAGTCTCCAGCATGGGTATTTTTAAATGGCTCGTGTTCTCCTGCTGATACAGTTCTTTGTACTGAATACTGCAGATATCCTGAGATGACTGGTGTACCATCAAATTTCTTCTATAAATTAAAATGACTAAAAATTAGCCAGTATAAAACAAGCATTTAATAGATACAAAGATGAACTGCAGTAGTCAAATACGACTATATCAATATCTTCATGGCTCTGTGTCAGTGCCCAGGTATCTTTCTAAGTAACTTAAAATTTTGATGTGGTTTTTCAGGTATGGAGCGGTGTCAGCGGGAACGCTATGTGCCCTTACCACTCTGTCCCAGCAGCTGGAGAATGAAAATGCTGTCGATGTTTTCCAGGTGGCAAAGATGATAAACCTTATGCGGCCTGGAGTATTTACAGACATTGTAAGTCTTTAAATGGAATATAAACGGATAGTTTACAAGGTATTCATCTGAGACCAAAAGCATGAACTAAAACATGCATTGTATACGTTGTCAAGCCCTACCGAATCTGCTACCAAGCAGAATTTGCATTTGGGCTTTTTTCTTTTTTCTGTATAGTTGTCATTTTTTATAAACCTCAAACCCTCACTGCAAGTCTCTGATTTGCAGTTAAGCTGATTTCTCATACAGTTGGGGGGCCGCTGTACAGGCAGCCCCAGCAGAGAAGGACCTTTCAGCTTGTCATCATCCCCCTGCAGCCCTGTAAGTTCAGCTCTGCTATGTAAACCTGGCACGTTGTGATCCGAGGGGGTGCAGCAGGGCTGGTGGAGCTGCCAGGAGATAAAGCTTCCACAGAGGGGCTCTTCGCTTGGCGTGCGGCGAGGGCAGCAGCCTTGCCTCAGTGTGCGTGGCTCTGCCGGTACGAGGGGACAACCTGGGGCTGAGCTGTGGGCTCAGGTATTGTCCTGCGCTCCTGTAGTGTTTAATAATATATCAGGAATAATACAATCTACCCAAAACTGGAATTTTGGGTTGACAAGGTTAAACTAGATTAACGTAGGTAAATGCTCTCTAAGTCTTTTTCTTTGCTCTACGTATGCCTCTAGTAATGAAAATCCATGACCTCCCCTGGAAATGCCAACTTTAAGTGCCACTCGCTTATGTACACAGAAAGGACTGAAATAACTTGTCTTTTCTTTTCCAGGAGCAGTACCAGTTTCTTTATAAGGCAATGCTAAGCTTGGTCAGCACTAAGGAAAATGGAAACGGTCCCATGACACTGGACAAAAATGGTGCTGTGATGGCCAGTGACGAATCTGATCCCGCAGAAAGCATGGAGTCTCTTGTCTAATTGGAAACCTGAAAAGGCACTTAATTTGTAGAACTTCTGAAGACTGAGTGAACTTTTTTGAGGCCTTTTTTGCCAGACTCTAGGTTATACAATAACCCAATTACTTTTTTACACTGATAAAAGTTTTGATATTTATTTTTTGCCATTTTATGTCTTAATGGTATCCTACTGAGCATTTGCACCTCTGTTTATTTCACACAGTGAAACGCAATTTTATCTAGTTTGCACTATATGATCAGTGTTACTGCCTATAATATTCTAATACAAGACAAGCCCTGATGTGACATTCCATGACAACAAACATACGCTTTTTCTGTTTTGTTTAAATGCAGTGAAGTTTTGCTAACTACAGTGACCCTCGAATCTTAAATCTTGAATGCTAGGCCAGATGGATTCTTTCTACGACAGATACTGTACCCCTTCATACCATATTTATTATTTTAATGATCATGTCACAGTTTTGGTAGCGGTATTCTGCATTCCAGTGGAGTGGATGAGCAGTGTTCATCCTTTCTTAACAAAACGTGGCAGGTGACGATTAGCTACAGTGAAGGTGTAATAGCCTTGTGGAGCTGAAACAATTATTTCTGTATTGTTTCAAATTGCCGTTTTGTACACTTACAGGCCTAAGATTTGCTTCACATGGAATATATCAATTACATACAATATAATTATAAATTAGATGCAATTCATATGTGGGACGCAGTGATAGGTTTTGAATTTACAATTTCAAAGCTTCCCCATGTATTCAGAAAAACGTTGATTTTAGTTTTTAACCAGTCCTATGATGGGAAAGTATTTTGGTTTTATTCTCATCAGAGCCAATACAGAAAGAAATCTACTACAACCCAAAATCAGATCTCTTTTCAGATATATTGAAGGTAGCAATATTTTACATTACTAAGCTATTCAATATTTTAAACACATTAATTTCCTTACTATTTCTTGAATATGACCTCACACCTAATGGTATGTTACATGATGACAGGCGTTTCTTAATTTCATAACTGTTAGATGCCATTTTTACAGGTGTGTAATTTTCATACTTTAGTGCTAAAACATAAAGTACTGATCCATATTTACTGGTGAAGCAAACTAATAAAAAAACTACCTATAAAGTTACATTCTCCCTCTTTTTTTTGCCAGACTAATTCTTTAGCACAAACCTAGCTTATGGTGTTTTCCCTCCCACACCAATAAAATGGTTTCCCCCAGATTATATAAATAATTGAATTATTGTTTGGAGCATTTAAGTATACATCCTCACTGGCTCCCTTTTCCTTTGTATTTGGTCGCAATTTAACAAAGTCCATCCCTATCTAACAAAAGAAGTAGGTGCATATTCAATTCTCCTGAAAATTAATGCTAATTGTGTCCTTCATAGCTCGGCTGAGCAGGGAGGGGTTGTTGAATCTGCCTTGAAAAGGAAATATGTCGTTTCAACCATCCTGGCATTTGTTATACAGTTAAAGGCACTATCCCTTGTATATGGCATTAGTTTCTTTACCTTTAAATTTTAACTGCACAAAACATGCATTGTAATTTTTCAGGACTTGTCAAAATGTTACAGCATATTTTTTTCATTTAAATGTAAACCTATTAATTTCTGCCAGTCCAGCCTTGCTGAAATGTAGACATTTGGCAAGGCAAAACCCACTCTTTTTGCTGGAGGGGAGGGCAGGGAGGAAGCTTAGCTAAGAGGAAGGGTCTGTGCATTTCCACATGCAAGGAAGCTGAAAGCGAATTGCTGAAAATTACATTGAGAGTAGGTATTTTGGTTCAGAACTTCACAAGGAACAAGCTGATACAGTCTCGCTGAGAGCAGAGGAGCTGTGCAGGCCAGTACGTGCTAACATCTGGCCTTTTATTTTTAATAAGGGAAGGATTTCCTAGTACGGATACACTTGATTAATTCCAGCACCGAAGTATTTAAGAATTCATCAGCAACCTTTTACGTGGTTACCTTTTACTTCCCGGTTTGTTGAATCCCTCCATACAAGTGATCCAAATAACTGCTAATGCTGAACAGTATCATATATCCATGGATTCAGTAAGGAAATCCCATGTCCAGCACCAGCTAGTCCAAAGAAAAAACGTGCAAAATGTTTCAAAAGAATGCTTTGTAGTTTGCATCCCCGTAGCACTGGGACAGCCCGGCACTGAGGAGGGAGTCAGTTAACGTCTGGTAGGAGTTAAGACTGGCTCTCCAGTCGCTACAGCCCAGGAACAAGGATGTAGTACGTTTTCAAGTACCGCTGCCTGCAAGGGCTGGAAGGTTTTGCTGGGTGGTCTGCTGGCCAGGGTGCAGCCGCAGTAGAGGTGGGGAGCCCCGCTTGCGCCCCAGCAGCAATCCTGGCCCCAGGCAATGCCGGCTGGTAGCACAAAGGGACTCTGAGGAGTTGGAATGGTTCAAACTGAAGTATTTAAGGTCCTGGGGAGGTGAAGGGAGCAGTTAACAATTCAAACCCTGACAAGAGCCAAGTGACTCAAAGATTACTGCAGGCATCAAGAGGGTTGGATTTGTTCAGTGCTTTCAGCTGATTACTTTTCATTTCACTGGCATGATGGAAGATAACTGTGGTTCGTGACACACTGCCTGAATGTCCTTGGTTTAATCCCTTACCTTCTCAATGAGTTTTAAAAATCAATGAAAGAAGGCTGTGGGGGTTGAACTTTGGTCGATGCTTTGGAAATCCGTGCATTTGCATTGGCATTTTCCCACACCTGAAACACTCGCTTGGGGTTTAATCCATGGGGAAATAATTTACACTGATGTTCTAGGAGTTCTCCATGGATTTTTTCTTAGGAGGGCTCAAGGTGTGTGTTAAGTGCTGTGCTGACAGTCAGATAGCCAATAGATGGTAGTGATGCATTAGGCTTGAAGTGGACGAAGCTGGGAATTGCTTGTGAAGGACAGGATTAAGGGCGCGGAAGAGACAAATCTATCCTACCGTAAGCAGCTGCAGTTCTGCTCTCTTACATGGATTTGCACCTCTTTC